CTAATGTCAGTGCTAACGTTGCTAATGTCAGTGCTAACGTTAGCTACAACAGTCCTGGTACTGCTAATGTCAGTGCTAACGTTAGCTACAACAGTCCTGGTACTGCTAATGTCAGTGCTAACGTCCCTGTCTTTTTCATTGATTCTTTTGTCGATCTCATTCAGTCTGAATCTTTGCATTGATTATTAATCAGATGAATTCAAAGTCATTATTTCAAAATCTCTGATGATCACCTCACACCAGCTGCTGAGTTGATTTGTCTGATTGTTTTATCTTGTTAGTAATAAGAGGTGGAGGTGGTGGTGGAGGTGGTGGTGGAGGAGGTGCAGGAGGAGGTGCAGGATTGTGCATTGATTTTTCTCCCCTCCTTCCTCAAACTAATTAAATTTTTGGCCTGGTTCAGTGATTACTTCACTGCTTACAGAGGTTTTCTCCTGCTGGTGGGGGCTTGTGCTAACTCTCTGTTGCTCCACACATCAGGCTCCCCTCACCCCTCCCCCCTCCCTCCCCAGTACCACAGATCTCTGCCCAAACACTTACTTATTTAGCTAAGGGAGCGTTACCACAGCAGTCAGGTGACGTCCTGTTACAGGAGATACAGGAGCTCACGGGTCATCAGGGTGGGGGCCAGCCTCTGGGTGGGGGCCAGCCTCTGGGTGGGGGCCAGCTGTTGGCTGGTCTTGACCACCAGGACGACTTCCTGTCAGTGTGGATGTTAATGCATCACTTCCTGTGTGTGGTGGAAGGAAACTCAGGGTGACAGAGAGTGAAACACAGCTGAATATAGATTCTCACGGCGTCAGGAGGAAATGTGTGAACTCATTTGGTAATAGCTTTACAGAAACCGACATTATTTCTCTGTCAGTGAAGGGTACGCTCTGTGGTGTGGATGTGATGTGGAGGCTGCTGTGGGAACATCTCTCAAATGAATGGACAGTAATTGGTGCTTGTTAGAGTGTATGCAGACGATGTGACGACGTATGTCCAGATCAAGTCTTCAGAAGGTTCTAGGTTTAAATCCATCCAGTGCCCACTCCTTGGTTATTGGTCATTTAACCACTTACTGGAGCGTCAGTCCTGGTCAAAACTGTTGTCAACACCAACAGAGTTCCATCATCCCTGACCCCCCCCTGCCCCCCCCACCCCCCCCCGGGCCGCTGGTGACCCCCCTCCGGCACGTC